AGCTCAAATGTCATTTTATTTCACTGGGAAAGCCATTCCAGTTAGATCAAGCTTCTGGCAGACTGGGGCATGTAGGGTTCCCCCCAAACTCCCCACAAATTATTTCCACGCGAAGGGAAGGGGTAGTGGTGCAGACCCCCAGGGCTGGTGCAGGACTAGCCACAGTTTTGCACTTCTTGCCAGCAGGCCTGAGGGACAGAGCAAGAACCAGAGAGCAAGAGAGGGCTGCTGTGGATGTGGGCTTGGGGAGGGCATGGCCACCTTCAGTGACCCCCCCAAGGCTAGTGGCCTGTTGAGTGGTCACTGTGGTTCAGCCAGTGGGCCCCTGGGGCACACACCAAGATCTCAAGGATAGATGGAAGATTCCAGCACTGTTAGTTTCCTGGGGTTACCATAACAAACTGCTGCAAACTTGGTGGCTTAAAACAAGAGCTATTCATTCACAATTCTGGAGACGAGAAGTCTGAAATCAAGGTGTATACACCCTCTGGATGCTCTAGGGGAGAATCCGGTCCAGCCTCTGATGGTTGCTGGCTTCCTTGGCTTATGGCTGCTTCCCTCCAGTCTGCCTCCATCTCCATATGGCCTTCTCCTCTGCATTTATTTTCTCCTGTGTGTGTCTCTTGTAAGGACATTTATTTGTCCTTGGGTTCAGGGCTACCCAGATAGCCTAGGGTAATCTCATCTCCAGACCCTTAATTACATCAGCAAAGACCTTTTTCCAAGTAAGGTCACATTCCCAGGTTCCAAGGCCTAGAATGCTGACATGTCTTTTTGGAAGCCACCTTCAGCCCACTACAAGCATCCATCACAAGAGAGTTAAAACTCCATGAGGAAGTGGTGGCTCATCATTAGCGTGACTGTCTGTGTTCAGTAGATGTGCGCTCTGTGAGGGCAGGGATGCCATCTCTCTGTCCACTCCTGTCTCCATTGCCAGCACATAGTGATGACTCAAAAACCTGTGTCTGGATGAATGAATAAACAGACGAATGAACAAACACTGTGACTACAATACAGAGTAAATGCAGAGGTGCAGACGTGTGCTCTGTGAGACATTGAGACCCCTGAGGTGAGCATTCCCGTGGAGGACTTGCACGGTGTGTGAATTACATGTCAGTTAGGTCATGCCTCAGAGTACCCAGTGATCTAGGGAGCAAGGTAGTGTGGGGCTTGAGGAAGTAGAGAAAAGGCTTAAAGCCATTGCCAGGGTCTTGATTAGGACAGTTTTGTGCAGAGATTTGGGGAAGAAAGGTGTTCCAGGCTAGGAGCCAGCCCAGAAGCAAAGTCATGGGCAAAGAGCATTGATGTACCAGGGAAGATGGTTACTTACTAAATAAAAATGATTGTTTGTCTCACATGAGTACTAGACCTTCTGAGCTTGGTGGCAAGGGAGGGACATACCTGTATCTTTATCTTACATTAACCCAGCCCACATTCCAAGTACTTACAGGGTTTTTGAGTGACTTAGAAAAAGAGGTATTCATTCTCTCACAATTCTGGAGACGAGAAGTCTGAAATCAAGGTGTCTACATCCTCTGGATGCTCTAGGGGAGAATCCGGTCCTGCCTCTTCTGGCCTCTGATAGTTGCTGGCCTCCTTGGCTCATGGCTGCCTCCCTCTAGTCTGCCTCCATTTCCACATGGCCTTCTCTTTAAAGGACCTCCAGTACTACTAAGAATTTCCCTTTATTTGTTGAAATCTGCTAACATAATTCAATCTTGTTTTTACTTTGTTTTGATAAGGATTATATAGTAGTGTAAAGGGGGTGTAAGGGAGTGCCCTGAGCATTTTTCTGTGAATCGATTTACCTTGGAAATGTGGAGAGATTTGCCTTTCATAGTGCTTAGGAAGGCACAGTTATAATTACAGATGGAGTCAGACCGGCCAGCTTGAATTAGAACTTCACAGTGTAGAAGTGTCTGGTTTGGAAAACATCCACAGCACACCCAAACCTTTGACTGGGTGCTGGCCAGTGGTGCGCAGGCTGTCTCCATCCTGTCCCAGAGAGCCCCACATTGCATATGTCATCCAGAGGGGAATTTAAATCTCTTTCTTTCTTACCAACTTGATCTTTATGCCACTCTCTGCCAGCCGAAATGAATACATAAATAATGACACGCGTTTGAGGTAGAATGTTCATTGTGCTAGAACTTCATTATGATGGAAGCATCCCAACAGAGAAAGGCATCTCCGTATTTCTGTGGGAACAAGCATTGTAAAATACCTTGTTTGCATTTTTAAAACAAAGCCATCTTATTTCCTTAGAGCTTCTGCCCTTCTGGTTCTAATACCAACAGGCCTTTAAAAAATTGTTATTAAAAAATGACTTCTGTAAGTTTTATACAGAAATTTAATAGTGCATCTTATAATGAATCAAGCATTATATACAGTAAAAAGGAAAGTAAAAAAATCTTGCTGCTATTTACTTTAGGAAAATGTCTTTCAGACACCCCTCTGTGCTCATGGATAGATGGATGGGCAGAAATAACTATAAATGGGATCCTGCTATCAAGTGTCTAATTTTTCTTCAGTTAGGAGCTGAAAAACTGAGTACATTAATGAAAGAATGTTCGCTTACCACTGAGAGATTATTTCCTGAAGATTTCTCTATGGTTAAAAGGACCTTGAGGACCCTCAAGGGGTTGGTGACACTGTGTTCAGTTTTCAGTTTCAGGCTCCGGGCCATGGTTCCTAAAGTACAGCGGGCCCATCCACCCGTTCTCAGATTCACTGTGCAGGCGTGGCCGCAGCCTGGAATCCGTCTGAGAGGAGGTGCAGGGTCCGGCTGCATGTCGCCCAGAGTGGCTGCCTCCTGGGCCTTGTCCTCATGGAGAGGGCCCCAAGTCCCTGCAGCTCACCTTTGCTTTGCAGGTGAAAGAACAAGGCTGGCTGTCTCCTCCCCATTTTTCTCAACTGGAATGATGGGAAGGAATGCCGAGGAGGAGAGTCTTTTTCTACATCTAATGTGGCGTCAGGTGTGTTCTGGGGCCACAGGGTGTGTGAAAAGCTTTGCCCAGATGCTTACGAAAAGCAGCTCCAACCCCCTTAGCACATGTGTCATGGCTGTTGGCCCCGGAGTGGGAGGCCTAAGTGGCCACGAAGAACTTACTGATATTTATTTACATAAAAGCATCTGAATACCCAAAGGGTATGAAAAGGCGCAGCCACTGTAGTGGTTGGTGGTTGAAGTTGAATTTGGCCTCTGGCTGGCTGGCGACTTGGACTTTGCCTTTGTGCATCCTGTGCAGACGAGCTGCGCTTTGATTACAGCCTGGGCTCCCTTGTGTTACTCTCTTCTAGGACTTTCTAACACGTAGAAGTGATTTTGACCTGACTTCAGCCCTACGTGGATAAGATTTATTTACAGATGTATTTTATGGTGAGACTGAAGCAGTGGCTCAGCTGTATATTGGAACCACCTGGGGAGCTTTGGGAAAAATAGGCATGCTTGGGTATCCTCTGGGGAGCTTGGCTGATGTGGGTTTGGCCTGGGCTTTGGGGCTCAGATTGGCGCCGCCTTCAGGTGATTGTGATGTGCAGCAGAGTTGAGAGCCCTGCTGTAAAGGGAGGCTTCGCAGACCTAGCCCCATGCACGTCCCTGGACGCTGGGGCTTGTGGTAGAGGCTTTACTCTGGACATCTGGGAGATACCCCTGCCAGGTTACCCTTCGATCCAGTGTGAGACCCCCATAGGCTCAGTCTCAGAGCACTGTACCATGTCTTGCATAATGGATTTGGGGCATCGATTGCTTGACAAACACAGCTTTTTTTGTTGTTCTTACCTCCACATTTCGTTACCCACCTTATTTGCCAGGTCTGGCCTCAGTGACTGGCTTTTTTGGGGGGTGGAGGAAGCTCTCTGATTCATTCAGCAGATCCTTACTGAGTGGATGATAGTACTAGGTGCCTCTCATGCCAAAGACGACAGGGTATTATTGGCTGTGTCATTAGGGTTCTGGTGGGAGCAAGATTTAATAACCCTGACTGCAGTTAATGGCTGGAGAGCAACGGGCGCTGGGACAGAGGGTGGCTGCGATCTCAGACTGGATGGCCAGGGAAGCCTCTGAGGATGAGGCACTAGGTGGAGCTGAGCAGACCTGAGCACCAGAGGCCTGAGGAAGGCAGAGCCTACTTTGCTCTCAGAACTGCTGGGACGGGGCCGTTGAGGGCCAGGTTCCCGCTCACCTCAGCGACCCTGGCGTGATGGGCTGGCTCTGTTCCGCTAACAGTGACTCCTGAGTTCGTATGCCATAGGAGCACTCTTGTCCCTGTTGGCTCTCTGGGCCTGACTCAGGAGCTCGCAAATAGTAGTTGCTCAGAAAATATTTACTGAGCAAAGAATTGATTGAGTCAGGATGACAGGGTGCATGGGGCAGTGGGTCTGGGAGCAGGAGCCCAGGGCGTGGCTGTGGCCTTGAACACCTGCTCCCTTCTCATCCATCACGTGAGACCAGCATTTTCTTTGTTTATAATTAAACTTTAAGTTTTGAGGTAACTGTAGATTCCGTGTGCTTGTAAAAAATGCAGAGGCTATATACCTGTCACCTATTTACCTCAGTGGTGACCGTCTTGCAAAACTCTCGTCTGCCCCCACTGTCTACCCCCGGGCACAGACACGGGTGTGTCCAGTCAGGATCGGGAGCAGCAGGACACTTCCATCACGGGAGGGTCCTCCAGGCCGTTCTTCAGCCACTTCCTTCTCCCAAGCACCCATTTTTCTCCATTTCTGTAATTCTGCCATTTCAAGAATGTCGTGTACACAAATCATAGTGCATGTGACCCTGTGAGTTGGCTTTTTTCACTCAGCATAATTAATTCCCTGGAGCTTCCTCCAGGTTGCCACGGGTGTCACCAGGAGGCTCTTTTTTGGGGCTCAGTGCTCCAGGCTGAGGGGGCAGCACCGTTGAGCCATCCATTGGCTGCAGGGCAGCTGGGTTGCTTTATGGTTGGGGCTATTACAAATAAAGCTGTTCTGAATATTTATGGTTTTGCATGAACGTAAGTTTTTGTTTCTGTAGATAAAAGCCTAGGAGTACAGTTTCTGTGTTTTATGGTATTTGCACGTTTGGTTTTAAAGACTGCCGAGCTGTTTCCAGAGGGGCTATACAATGGTTTGTTAATCTTTGTTCTTTTAATGGCTTAACAATCAAGGGAAAGGAAAGACTTCTGCAGGACCTTGGGAGACAATGCCCATGGCGGGGGGAGGCGGCTGGTGGGGAAGGCGAGAGTGAAGGGAGCCCCTCCCAGGGCCTCCGGAAACCTAGCAGTACTGGGAACTCCGCTACATCGGGCCTTCCCAGCCCCACATTCTCCTTGCTGCCCAAAGCAGTGGCAAGACACCAAGAGTATTTCTACTGCACTAATTTTTATAGTGTTAGGCTAGTGGTTTAATTTGCTATCTTAATTTAAATCCTTATTTTAAGTTCTAAGATTAGTTTAACTGAAGGGCATGGGCCCAACTCCTCTGCAGGAGCTCCCAGCTTGGTGGTCAGCGCCTCCTGATGGGGCCATGGCCCCAGGGCTTTGGCTTTGTCCTCTTCATTGAGTCGCACCTGTGTGTAGTGAGTGGGCAAGTGTGAGTGTGAGTGCATGCTGGGAGCTGGGCTTGGCCTGGGGGGAGGGCACGGAGCCGAGGCTGCGCAGCCAGGAATCTGCACCCAGACTACCAAGAGGAAGGAAGTAGCAGCGAAAATAAATTGGGTGGGGTGGCAGAAAAGATCAAGGGGAAAGTGAGGTGGTAGGTGTGGGAGTGAGAAGAGCTGCTGAGAGAAGTGCAGGCAGGTAGGTGGACAGAATCTGTGCAGGTGAAACCTCACACCCAGAAAGCCAGGCTGCTGTGGGCGCCACAGTTGAGGGGAGCCGGCCGCCAGCAAGTAGAGGTCCGGGGCTGATGGTGCGTGGTGGTGGTGGTGGTGGTGGTGGTGTGTGTGTGTGTGTGTGTGTGTGTCTTTAAACGTGTGTGTGTGTGTGTGTGTGTGTGTGTCTTTAAACATATTTCTACTACACTTTATAGGACTTTCTAATCCTTTCCTCAGACCTTCCTTTTCCCCTTTACCCCTGAGGTCTGTGCTGGTGGGCTTCTCTGCCTCCCCAGTAATGTCCGTCACTGCTTGGAAGGACAGAATGAAACCCCTGCAGGGTGAATAGGTCCCCCTCGCTAATGGCCAGGTGGCCGGGGGTGGGGTGCTGGCCGTGGCATGGGGAAGGACACGAACAGGGTCTCTGTAAATGGAATTCAGGCTTCTATGTTTGATTTCTAAGCCTGAAATGACATCCTGCCAACTGCCCTACTCTGATAAAAGTGATTCTTTAACTTCCCCTGGCGCAGCAGAAATGTGTTTGGAAGAAATCTAGCTCTGAATCATGCAGCTATTTACTCTGCAAAGCACAGTGGCAGTAGTAAGGAATTCCAGTCACAGCACAGCCGTTGAAGCGAAGCCTCGGAGACTCGCGGGACAAAGCCTGTTCCGCACACTTGTTGAGAAGGAAGCGCCTTGCTCTTCAAGAGGGAAGCAGTGTCCAAAGTAGAAACTGCAGGGACCGGAGTCTGGGTTGGGGGCCGCCGCCTGTGTGTGGTCCCAGCCCAAGACCGGCCCACAGAAGCAGATGCACTGACCCCTGGGGATGGGGCACGGAACCTTGGGGGACTTGCCTGTGAATAACACACTTGGTTCTCATCATCCTGTGTGCTCCTTGCAGACGCAGAGCATTCAGCTTAACAAAGATATGACGCTTGCCAGCAACCGGAGCCTGGCAGAAGGGAACCTTTTGTACCAGCCCCAGCTGGACACGCTGAAAGCGCGTTTGACCCAAAAGTACCAGGAGCTCCAGGTTCTGTTTGAAGTCTATCAGATAAAGAAGACCAAATTAGGTAACTTTTTGGGGGTGCTCTTTCAAGAATAAAGAGTTGGGAGAAGGACACATTTTCAAGCTTTTGCACTACCAGGGGAGAAATATTATCATGGAAAATTTTCAGGTTAAGACAATGATTAATGTCATGAAGAAATAGTTCCTCTCTAGGATTGTGTCACCAGTTTAGAAAAGAAACTTAACCACCTTTTAAACAAAATTCTACCTTCTCCAAACAGCATAGGAAAAAAGGTAATTTTCTGAATTGTGATATTTAGCTATGTTTTATCCAGTGAGGTCAGGCTCTCAAAGTTAAAAAATATCTATCACTGGGACACTTTATTTTAATGTCATACTTTAATTTGTAGCCATTGTGAAGAGATGTAGAAATTGAACACTGTTGAAAGTCCTGAGGGCTTTGGAGAGCTTTCCAGGGCTTTGAGATTGAGGGGCTAAAGATCATCTGTGTGAGAGAGGGTCACAGTGGAGCCGGAGACTGACTCCCGCTCCCTGCCTCCATAGCTGCATGAAACTTACTAGAACATAAAACCCAGTCAGGAAGAGTCAAAGCAGGGGAACGCACGACCAGGTCTGGAGAGGGTGTGGAGCTCTTGCATTGCTGGTAGGAGTTGAAACTGGTAAAGCTGCCTGGGAAAAGTCGTTTGGCAGCACCAGCTAACATGAAAAACCCATGTTCACTCCTGGGTGGATCCCCAACAGAAATGGGCATTTATGTCTAGCAAAAGATAGGCGTAAGAATATTCACTGCAGCTTTATTTGTAAAAGCTAAAGTTGGAAACAGTGTAAATGTCTATCCCTGACTGGTACATAGGTAAGTTGTGATAATTACACAATGGACTTCCACATCGCATTGGAAGAAGTGAGCAGCGCTTCTGCAGTCCCTTCGTGCAGCGCAGATCATATCCCAGACGTGGTGCTGAATGAGGGGAGCGAGCCTGGAGCCCACGCCGTGTGATTACACTTGTGTGCAGCTCGGAACCAGGCAGGGCTCTTAGGTGGTGGGGGTCATCACAGGCGTGACCTCTGTGGGAGTTGCTGGGAGTGGGCCTGAGGGAGCCACTGCACATGTTCTAGATCCTTATGGGCATGAGGTGCTTGGGTTTATATGTGGGTAGAAATTCAGGTCACACACTTAAGATATGTGTGCTGTATGTAAGTCATCACTCAAAATACAAAGGAAAGACGCATAGGGTGACTACATCACGTGTTTGAGAGCAGCCCTCTATAGGGCAGGTGGGGACACTGGATGCTGTGATGCAGCCTCCAGGCAACCCCTGCACTAGTCCCATGCACTCCTTCTTCTCCTGGATTTCAAGGCCTTTACTTTGAGCTTCCTGGAAAGTCAAAGGGAGTGGGGAAGAATCTGGTGGCGGGGCTGGGGTGTGGGGGCGGTGCTTATTGACTAGAAGGGCCAGGAGTGCTGTAATTTCTGAGTCTGTGCCTGGCACCCCCACCTCATCATGCCTCCTGGTTCTTGCAGATAAACAGTCCAGCAGCGCATCCTTGGAGACCCTGTTAGCACTTCTCCAGGCAGAAGGGGCCAAGATTGAGGAAGACACCGAGGTAAAGTCAGCCAGCCTGGGATGCCCAGGGCACAGGTACCAGGGGGCAGCAGTAGGCCCAGTTTCTGCAGGGACAGTGAGTGCCACACCCTGCCAGCCAGGCTGCACGTGAGCCACAGGACAGTCTGGCCCTTGAGCAAAGGATGCTCGCTTCCCTGTAAGGTGGCACTGGTCCTGTAGGGCAGGGGGCTGGCTGACGTACTGTTTGCTCTGAGTCAGCTAGTGGGGCAGAGCCTGTGGGACATGGCCAGCTGAGTGCTTCAGGGCCTCACTGAATAACAAGGACATGAGTCAGGGCCAAAAGCTGTGCAGTTAGAGCAAGCTGGGGCTGGCAGCATCTCGCTGAATTGGCTCCATGGTCTAATTAACCATTGGGGATTGGTGGGGGCCTGATGGGCACAGGCAGGTTTCTCTCTGACCCCATGTGGGGCAAGTCTGTCAGGATGCAGCCAGAGGAAAGGAGGAAATGTTGGCCTCCAGCTAGCCTAACAGAGTCAGAAGTGGGCACAGCCATTTTCTCTCTGGGCCCAGAGACCCAGCAGCTCAGGGCTGCTGACAGGCCCCCTGCACCTTCAGGCTGGCTCTCCCGAGGCCTGCTGCCCATCAGCTTGTAAGCTGGCGGGTGTGGGGCAGACAGGACCAGCCCACCTCTCCTCCCAGACAACTGGCTGGCCTGAGGTCAGCCCGGCTCAGACAGGATGGGGGCAGGTGTTGGGAGGAACCTGGTGTGACCCTCCCTGCGCCCTAGGTGGTAAAGGAAGCTTACTCCCGTAGCGGCTGACCTGTCCCTGGAAACCAGTTTCTCCTGCTTCTTTCAGAACATGGCAGAGAAGTTTCTCGATGGAGAGCTTCCTCTAGACTCCTTCATCGATGTCTATCAGAGCAAGCGGAAACTGGCCCACATGCGCAGAGTTAAGATCGAGAAGCTCCAGGAGATGGTGCTGAAAGGACAGAGACTTCCACAGGCCCTGGTCCCACTGACACCCAGGGTTTCTGAGCCTGTGCCCGCTCTCCCCTTGCCCTATCCCACCTCAGAGGCCAGTGGGCCCCCATCTGTTGTGCCACGGCGCATACCCCCACCACCACCCCCAGTGCCTGCAGGACGTTTAGCCACACCGTTCACCGCTGCCATGGGCACAGGACAGGCCTTTCCGTACCCAGGGTCACAGTACCCTCCCCTGCCACCTCGCGTGGGCATCCCCCCACAGCAAGGATTCTCCGCACAGTTTGTATCTCCATACCCGCCCGCTCTCCCCCAGAGACCCCCGCCCCGGCTGCCTCCACACCAGCCAGGCTTCATCCTCCAGTGAGCGGCTCATCCTTCCTGGGAGACCCCTTCTGCCTGCTGGCCGGGGTTCCACACGCCTTGGAGACTGCCAGGCCTGGCTGCTTTGCCAGCACCTCCATCTGATTCTAGGACTGTAGATCAGTGGTAAGTAGACGTAGACCCCAGCTCTGGACACCTCAGTGGTGTGTGTGTGCTCAGCCTCAGTGTGGCAGCTCCATGGTTGTGCTGGTGTGAGCTCTCGGCATGGTTTTTAAGTCTTACAGCGTTGATGGACTCATGAGTTTGGGGGAAAAGCCTCCCCCTAATCCCACTTAGAATGGGGTCCTCCCACTGCAGCTTTATTTGATAAGCACGGTTGATCATTTCTGCTTTGTTTTCAAGAGACATTGTCTGTGTCCCAGCCCACCACAGTCCCTGGTCGGGTCACTCAGGTGGGCCAGCCCAGAAGGTGCTCACTCAGTCTGTGGGATGGGGTGGCCTTCAGTCCCCCCACCTTCCCCAATTCTGGATGCTTCAAAGCCACACGTGGAGTTTGGACTTGGCCCACCGCCACGTCCAGAGGCCGGGCGAGTTGCCGCTGGGCCTTGGGAGGGCGGTGACGGTGTGATTGGACTTCGCTCAGCGAGCGGTCACAGCTGCTCCTCCTCCTCTTGCCTAAGGGTTTCTATGAAGAAAAACTCCCCCAATATTTTTACTACGTCTGTAACATTCCTGTTTTATATTGGGAAAAGAAAACTTTTTTGACACAAGACCATTCAGGGAAACTTTATTAAAAAAAAGTGCACATAGTGTTTTGAGCAGATTGAAATGCAGATGAAATGAATGCAAGTTTCTTTCCTGCAAGCAGTGTCTGGTCACACCTGCTCACACCCGTGGGTGCCTGTGCTGTGCCTTAGCTTCACCTGGTGCCAGTGGGGTGCTGGCCACGGCTCCCTACCTGCCCACAGGCTGGCAGGCTGCAGGGCGGCTGTCGCCAGCAACTGCTGCCCCTGGTGGCTCTCAGTTCCTGGAGGAGCTTGTCCTGTCCTTGGTCATTGATGTGTTGAAAGTGGAAGAAAAGTCTGCCTACCTTGGACCAGTTAACTCTTAGCTAGTAGTCTCTGCCTCTGCCTGGCTGGGCCCTGGGGCATGGGTGGGAAAGACAGACTCTTTTCAGCTGGGTTTGGAGAAAACCTCCCCCTCTGGGGACCAGGGAAGGTGCCAACAAACCGGGGTGCTCTGGCAACAGCCCCAGGTTCTGCCTGCCCCTCTGGGCTCTCATCTCCATGTGCACCTGGCTGCATGCCAGGGCCCGGGTGGGGGCAGGGTGTTGCCACTCCCATCCCACGACAGCAAAGCCCCATGGCTCTCCCAGGTGACAGAACCAAGGCCGAGCTCAAACAGGGTCAGTCACAGCAGGCCACGGTGAGGCCACCAATCTTTGTATTACCCTACAGTTCTGTTCCTGACTTGAACTCTATGGTATCATAATTGTTTTTAAGAACAGAAGCTGTATAGGATGATTTACTGCCATGCCAATCAGGTAGGCGTGCCATGTCCTGTGAATCTTGAGCACGTGGTGCCACCCACCCCAATACCTCTGTCACCCCGCTGTTGGGGGATGCCCGCAGCCTGCACGGTGCACAGCCAAATGTGGGCTTGGTGTTGATGTGAAGGGGCCACTGGGCTAGCCACACATCTCTCCAGGGCCACGCCTGAGCTGTGGTTGTGAAGGTGTAGGACCCTTTTTAATAAATAGAGAATTATTAATAGCAGTGCTGTCATTTATTTCCCTGGGGATGTGGGATGTTGTGATGTGTTTATCGCTGATACTCTATCTAGAACCAGAGTTCCTACAGTGATGCTGGCGGGTATGTTTGTTGAGGTTGAAAAGCCACCCAGGTGGCTGCAGGGTCTGCCTTGGCCAGAGCTCCAGGCATGAATAGCAGAGCCTTTCATCCTGTTGTTTTTTTATCAGAGTCTTAAAGGGCAGAAAGCAGCACATTCCTTGTGTCAGAACCCCGTCTTAGGGTCTCAGCTGCCCCGCATGAGCCTCTGAGCAGGGGACCACGGGTGCCCTCTGGGCTGTCCCTCCCTGGCCTCTGTCCACAGGGTCCCCTCTGCCTGCTGCTCAGCTGATGGACACTCTAGTTAGGTCATTCTTGGCTTGTTTCAGATTAACAGAACATGATGTTTTGCCCTGGGGACTTGCCCACAGGCGTTGGCAGGTGTTGCCCACTCCCAACTGCATGCTGAGCATGTGCTGCTTCCCTCTTGAGGCTGAAGGACCCCAGGCTCGTGCCTCCGCCCCTGGGGTGGGCTGTCTCAGGGCCTTGGTGCCCCGGGAGGGCCTGTCCTCCGTGCTGGGGGTACTGGACCGTGAGGGGCCCCAGGAGCAGCCATGCACAGGCTTACCTGATTGCACTCCCCTCTAAATGGGATGCCATTCCCTGCACATCACTGCTCTGAGAACATGCAGGGTACACTGCTGTGGTTTCCCTGTGAGGAAGAAGGAAGCTTTTCCTGAGAAATAAGTTTGCTTTTTGTTTAAAAGAGAATTTGTGTGTCTGATAGCTTCCTAGCAGCCACTGGGAAAAAAGAAATTAACAGCCAAATTTGTAGTCTACCCCAGTTCCGTGGGATCCAAGCCTTGACTGGTCCTTGCTCCCTCCTCTGAGCCCCTTTGCTCAAGGGAGGGACAGTAATTGACCCAAGCGAGCAGCAGACCCCCAAGGCCTCTCTTTTTGGAGCTTGTTAACACATTTGCTCACTGAGGACTCATGCCAATGTGCGCTGGTTTGTAGCAGGTGGAGAGAATCTGCTTCTCTTCTCTGAAGCTGTTTTCCTCGCAGGAACCAGCCACCAGCTCATCTCAGGACCCTTCCTGTTTATGGAGACTGGGTCCCAGAGCACCTTTACTCCTGACCCCACCTACTCCTCACAACCACCTTGGAGGCCAGGCATCTCCATCCTCCGGGAACCTGTGGCTCGGGGACTGGGACACTTGTCCTAGGCCACTTGGTGGGCATCCCCCAGGCTGACCTTTTCCCCCCGACCTGCATTGTCCTAGTCTGTAAATGCTGGTGATCTGGGGAGAAGCATGGTTTCTCAGGGAAGCTGGCCCAGACTGGACCCTTACATGGGGGAGCACTCCCAGAGTGGGTGCTTGCACAGCCAGCTGTGCCCTTTGTCATGCATAGTTCTCAGCTACAAGGCATCAGGGGTTACCCTCCCTTTCCCCAAGGGGCGTGGTTTCCAACAGGGCTTGGGGGAAGGGGCTCAGGAGCAGTGTGGCCCTTTGGCTGGGACTGTTGGCCTTGGGGTGGCAGAGAAGACTCACCACAGGCATCACAGACCCCAGGGAAGCAAGCCGGGACCTTCCTAGGCAGAGTCCGAAGCAGCAGCACTAGCCAGCTTTTCTGTGGCTCTAAGTGGCTCCCTCCCAGAAAAGGAACAGCCCAGGCACAGCCCCTGGTGACAACAAAGTGCACTTTATTGCTAATCTGACTCAACATCAGGAAATACTAAGCACAAAGCAAGGGGCAGGCTCCTGGCTCTGGTCTCCAGATCCCAACCTGGAGGGCTCGCCCCATGCAGCTGCTGATCCTTTCCTCCCAGCCTGGTTCCCCTTCCCCAACCCCGGACCACTCACAGGGTAGCTCAAGGGGCACAGCATGCCTGCTGTTCAGATCCTCCAATGGGCAGGGCAGGATAAGCCTTGGCCTAACTCTGGGCAGCACAGGGCTGACAGGCGATCCCTCTGAGGGCGGCCCCCTTCTGGTGGAGTGCAAGGCACTCTTGATCCAGAGGATGGTGGGCAGGTGACTCCTAGTTTCTGGGCTTTTTCTGGCTGAGCTGGAAGAGGCTTTCAGGTGGCTGGATGTCACTGATGAGGGGAATGTGGCAGCGGGAATGCGGTAGGGAGCAGCCGGTGTGGGCCTCTAGGGCGGGGCAGCCAGATCAGGGGAGGGAAGACAAGAAATGGGAGGGCTCCACAGATATCAGCAGATCAGACTCCAGGGGCCAAGGCAGCACCTGTGCCCATGGGGGGTCTCCGCACACTGGTGCCTAGCCCGGCAGCAGCCCCTGGTCTACCTCTCCCCAGACCAGGTCCTGTCCTCAGTGCCTAGAGCAAGGCCTCAGGGGCCAGGGGGAAGATCCCAGCCCACCCTAAAGCTCCTGCTTTGCCTGAGGCCATACCAGGTCCCATCTCTATGGATTCAGTGCTGCAAGAAGGCCACAAAGGTGACATCTTCCTATGTCCCCACCAGCCAGACCCCGCATCCAGAAGGCAAGGGAGGCCCTGGCCAGACACCCCCATTCCAATGGCTCTGCCTCCCAGTGTGCTGAATACCAACCCATAAAGGAAAGTTGTAACTCAAGAGCACTAAAACCGTTCCATGTATTTCCTGATGAGTTGTGGCTCAGACCTGCTAGGTCCTAGCTGCTTTCACAAGTTCCTACTGCAGATAAATAGATTCACGTCCAGAACTACCCAGTTAGTCCCAATCCCGTGGGCTCTGCAATCCTGGGCAGTTGGGTTAGGCACCTGGTGTGAGGGCTGGTGCCTTCTGCTGGGGACTTTGCCCCTCAGAGGCTCTTCAGCCAGGTCAGGGCAGCCAAGTGAGGCCTGGACCTGCCCACCAGCCTCTCCACTGGGCCCCTCGGGAGCCTAGTAGTTCACGAGTTGAGCCGGGTAGATGCCATCCTTTCTGTTGAGCTGTAAGAGTCAAGATGAGGGCTCAGTGGATGTGGCCAGGAGCGCATAGCACGGCCCAGATCTGGCCTCACTCCAGCACCCATACTCCCCATGTTGCTGGGGCAGCATTTCTGCTCCTGCTGGCCAGCTGTCTGACTCGCCAAGGTCTGTGTCCTACAGACCTGGGAGCAGAGGCCAGGTCAGCACCCCAGGGCCCGCATCCCAGCCCCACCACCGGGCACCTGGTGGTCCTGCCGTGGGGCCACGCTGGGCTTCTGGGCCAGGGGTGGCTTCTTGGAGGTCCCAGCGCGGGGGGTGGCGGGGGGCTGGCTGGGCTCCTCCTCACTAGGCGTCCCCACCGCCCCAGCCAGCACATAGTGCTGCCTCCGCAGCTCCCCCAGCCGCACACGCTCTGCCTCCAGCGTCTTCTCCAGCTCCAGGACTCGCACCTGCACCCCCACACACCCACTCAGCATAGCCCCGTGCTCCCCCCTCCCCCCCCACAAGGGGCCCTCCCACCTTCTTGGAGCTTGGACCTTGGAGAAGGACAGGCTTGGAGGCCAGCCATGCACCTAGAAAGCCAGGCGGCTGGGGGAGGGTGTGGACTCCTACCTGGGTCTCCATCTCCTGCTTCTTCAGCTTGATGAGGGACAGGCCAGAGAAGTCCATGGTGTCTATGGCCAAAGTGACAGTAAGTGTCTGGATGCCTCACCCCACCCCCACCCAGGGCCTAGCACTCGCCTCTATCTTCGATCTGCTCCTGGCCTGACTTGGTGGAGGCCACCACGTTGGCAGCCATCTCGTTGACAGTGCGGGAGCACTCCTGTAGGCGACTCAGGTGGGGGCTATGCTTGTTGGCCTTTACCTGGGGATGGGGACAGGTCAGGTGGGCCCCTGGGCTCAATCCCCAACCCACCATCTCCCAGCATGTTCATCACAGCCAGGAGTTGGGGAACCTTAAGTGAGAGGCTACCAAGCACAGAGCCTCACCTTGGAGGCTGCCACCAGCTGGGCAGTGCTGGCCGCGATTTCATGAGAGCAGACGATGAGCTCTTCGTACTTGCCCGTGTGAAGCACCACCTTGTCTGCTGACTCCCTGGGGAGAGCCAGGCGGGGCCTGGGTCTCTGGCCTCGTGGACAGATGGGCCACCCCCACTCTCCCTCCCTAGACCGAGCTCTGCAACCCCTGCTCCCCCCACCTGGGGTGACATACACCAGCTGTGTGGCACCCCAGCCCACGGCCTTGGAGGCAGAGATGAGGCCTTCAGTCCACCTCGAGTTCTTGGCGTAAAACTCCTGCTGCGTGGCTGCCCCCTGGTGGCCAAAGGAAGACAGGGCTGTCAGTGACCGCACAGGTGTCAATGGTGGGCCCCGGGCTGTCCCATCACCCACAAGGGCGCGTCCCTGGGGCGTGGGATTCGGCTGTGAATCCCAGGCATGTCATGTGCAGTGTGTGTGGGGGGGCTCATCACCACCAGGTGGCTCACACCCAAGGGAGCCCCGTGGGCGGCCTAAGCCACAGGGCGGAGCCGTCTGGGAAGAAGAGGCTCTGGGCTTGGGGCCCTTGCAGGAACCTGTCTCATGCTGTCCCAGTTGTGTGGCCTGCCCAGCAAGGGGGGCCCCACATGGCACAGCCAGGGGTGCCATCACATCAGCAGCAGCCCAGCTCACCCTGCCGCTCTCCACAATTTCCTTCTGCAGGCTGGTGGATGTTGTCACCAGGAATCGGATGGCCTGCCAAGGGCAAGACTCTTTTTCACTCAGGGTGGCCCTGCCAGGTACACAGCCACCCGGGGGTCCCAGCTGGCTACTCACCTTCATCAGGTCTGTGCAGGAGTTGAGGATCCTGGGGGAGCAGGAAGAGGTGTTAGGGAGAGAGACGGATCAGCAGTGTGGCCCCAGAAGCCACAGGGGGCATCGGGAAGCCTGGCAGGCCTCCACAGGACAACCACAGGGCATGAGGTAGGGAGGCCCACGGGCACGATGGGCACCACCTATTCTCTTTCTGGAGAGCTAAGCAATCAGGAGGGCAGAACCCCCTGGGATTGAGGAGCTGGGGGGAACTGGCCTTGTTCTAGTACTGGCTGGGGCAAAAGGGGGGCTCACCTTTCATTCACCTCCAGTTTCACCCCAGAGCTGGCATGGCGGGCCTGGTTCATCATGTCCTATACCCGATGACAGAGCCGTGAGCAGGCTGGGAGGAGGGCAGTGTGGGAGGACGGGGGACACTGGCACTGGACCAGGCCTGCCCCCTCCACCCCTAGAACAGCCACTGAGGTCAGGGTGGGAAAGCCAGGCCCACCTCCCGCCCTGCCCCCCAGTTTTGCCCCAACTCTGTCTCCTGCCCAGAGGTACACAGCCCAGCCCAGCCCCTGAAGGAACTGGAGGGGACCCCCACATCCCAGTCTTCACCTCAATCCTCCGCACAGCGTCTTCGATGGCTGCGGACGTGGCTGCCATTTCCTTGTCCACCATGGCCCCAAGCTCCTCCTGACGCACATCCAGGCTCTTTGGCTTCAGCATCTGGGGGAGGAGGGCACCCATGTCACACAGGCTGGATTCGACCTCCAGCAGCCCCACAAGAGCCTGGGAACAAGGTTGGGACAGCAGGTTCTTGGGTTGTGTGCTGTGTTCCTGCCAGTGTCTGGCATCTGCAGGCTCTGCACACAACCACCTGTTCAGCCCAAACTAGAGGGAAGTGCAGAGTTTGGGGACCCATGCCTCACCCCAGCCCCACTGCCCCCCATGATCAGTGCCAGGACTGTACACCTCACCTGGCCTAGCTGAAGGATGCCCTGCAGAGGGGTCCTCACCAGGCCTGGCTGGGCCTGCTGTACAGCCTTCTGATCCTGCAGCTGCCCCATGAGCTCCAGGGCCTGGGCCCCGCACTCCCTGCAGGTGTCAATCAGGCCTGGGGAAGGGGGTTGTGAGGGGGCTGGCGCCACAGAGCCCTGGGGGATGCTGTCACACACAGGCCCCAGCCCCGGGTCTGACGCCAGGACCCATGTGCAGGCCCCACCTTACCCTGGTCCATCAGGAGGACCAAGTGGGAGGCAAGCCCAGACCCACTTACGGTCAGCAGGGTCAGTGGGGGCCAGGTGGGAGGTGGCACTGCCGTTGACGATGGTGTCCGCAGCCAGGTGGGAGAACTGGGTAAGGGCTGCCACCAGGGCAGAGGCTTCTGTGTGAGGAGAGCAAGGGAACCCTAATGTGCTGCCGTGGAGCAAGGCCCCAGCTGGTGCCTTGGGCCTTACAGTAGGCTACCCAACAGGCCCGAAGCAGGTACCAGGGGCCCAGCTGAGGGGTGAGAAAAGGAAGCCTTGGAGGGAGAAGGGGCTAAGCCAAGGTCACACAACTAGAAGGTGCAGTGAGAACCAAAACCGGGCCCGCGTGGGAGGCAGGGCAGGGCTCATGGGTCAGGGCGGGCAGCGGGTACCCGCCTACCTCCTAAAGAGGTGCCTGCTGTGGGAACCTCCCCACCGCCAGCAGCAACAGCCACTGAAGTGGCACAACAGTGCCAGTGGCCTCTGCTCCACCCCTCCTGCCTGGCACTCACCTGACCTGGAGGTCAGGTACTGGGCGTGGCCTTTCTCCAGGGCACTCACAGTGTCCAGGGCTGCCTGTGCCCTGCTTATCAGGTAGTCTGCAAGGGCAGGGGGGACGGTGAGGGGCAGAGCCTGGCCTGAGGCTCCGTCACCCCTCTGGCCTCTCAGCTTCTAGTAGGGGAGGGAAGGAGATGGCACCTGGGGAGCTGGTGCAGCGCATGTGCAGGGGGTCGTCCAGCTTGCCCACGGCATCCTGCAGGATGCGCTCTGCCTCTGCAGCCGTGCTTCGCAGCACTGCAAACTGCTCATCCAGGAGCCTCTGCTGCAGCTCCCGCTCCTGCAACTCCTGGGGGGAGAGGCAGTTCAGAGACCTCGCCAGGGTCGATCCTACAGGCAACCAGGCAGGTAGGCAGCCCCACTGAGATCCCTGGAGAGGTCCCATTCCACTCCAGTGTGTGAGCTGCTCCCACAGAGCAGGACAGACAGCTCAGTAATAAAGACAAAAAAACCAATTAAGAAGTAAGCAAAGGATCTGAACACTTCTCCCAAGGTACATAAAGGGCAATGAACACATACTAAGATGCTCAACATCATTAGCCATTAGGGCATAAAATCAAAACCACTTCACACCCACTAGGATGGCTAAAATATAGACAGACACTTGTTGACAAGATTGTAACTGGAACCCTCACATGTTCCTGTGGGAATGGAAAACGGTGCAGCCACTTTGGAAAACACTTTGGTAATTCCTCGAAGCGTTAAACAGAATTACCATGTGACCCAGCAGGTGTATTTGTAGTTACAGACCTAAGAGAAATAAAAACATGTCCACACAAAACCTTGTATACCAATTCTCATAGCAGCATTACTCACAATGGACAAAAAGTGGAAACAGGCTAAGTATCCATCAAACCGATGGATAAACAAAATGTGGTCATTATCAGGCCATGAACTGACACAGGTAACCCATGAAAACGTGCTTAGTGAAAGAAGCTGGTCATATTGGTAATTCATTTATATGAAATGTCCAGAAAAGGCAAATCCAGAGGCAGAGTAGTGGTTGCTGGGGCTGGTGTTGGGGTGGGGTGGGGGTTAACTGCTTACTAGGGAAGGGGTTTCTTTCTGGAGTGGTGAGAATGTTCTGGAAGCATAAAGATGGATGCACAGCCCTGCAAACATACCAAGATCCACAGCCTCGTCCACTCTGAACGCATCAGCCATATGATACATGAACTCTCATCCCAGCTGTTACATGATAGGGTGGGGGGCCCGCTACCTTGTCCGCCAGCTGTCCCTGCAGCTCGCCCCTCTCCTGGGAGCTGCACTGCTGCTCCTGGCTCAGTGCTGCCTCCTTCTCCTGCACGAGGCGCTGGGCGGCCAGCAGGTCTGCCTCCCGCTGCTGCAGGGCTCTGCTCAGCACGACCTTCTCCTCACTCAGTGCATCCAGCCGAGAGCTCAGCTCCAAACCATTCTGCGAACACCTGGCGAGTGAGCAGGGCTTCCAGAGGCCCTGCCTGCCCCTCAGCCTCCCCCAGATTTACAAACAATTCCTTAAGACCACCCCCTTAGAGCTTCCGGAGGGCCAGGGCCTGTTTCACTGTTTCCCCCAGTGTCGAGTCAGGGTTGCACTCCAGGATGGCCTCGGGCCCCTCTGGACCAACCCCGTGGCATCTAGGAGTGGCCCCATTCACAGCAAAGAGGACCCTCACTGTTGTCCAACCCAATCCCCGGAGGCCACCCCACCCAGCAGCCACCACACCTGCTCTGTGCGGCTCAGGGCCTCCTGCACACGGACCAGCTCTCCAGCCTTGTCCTCCAGTTCCCTCTTGAACTTCTCTAGCTGGTCACTCTGCTCCTCCAGCTGGGACAGGACAGCATGTCATGGGGGCAGTGGGCTTGTGGGGCAGAAGACTACAGCCTGGGACCTGTGGACACGGGACATACCTTCAGCTCAGACTCCCGCTTCACCTGCTCCATCTGGAAGGCCAGCTGCTCCTTCACCCGTGCCACCTCCTCCTGGCTCTGCTGCGTCACGGTCAGCTGCTTGGCAGTGTCTGCGTTCTGCACAGCATGGCACAGGGTCACGCTCTGCCCCACTGGAGGGTCCCCTAGTCCACACCCGTGCCAGCAGCCCTACCTTCCTGAGCAGCTCGGCGTGCGTGTTGATGAGCTCACTGTGCTTTTCCTTCAGCTTGTTGTAGCGCGCCTCCGTGGCGCTGGCCTTCTCTGCGGGGAAGAGGCGGGACTGTGATCCTGGCGCCCAGCAGAGGCCCCCACCTTGGCAAACGGCACCCCGGTGGGGAGTGCCACATGGCCCCAGCCCACGCACTCTCAGCCTCCTCGCGCAGGCCCTGGTTCCGCTCGCCCTGCAGCTGGGAGGCCCTCAGCTGGGCCAGCTCGTGGCGGAGCTGCTCGTTGTCCACCAGCGCCTTTTGCTTCTGCTTGCGCTGCTCCTCCAGCTCAGCCTCCAGCGTATCCACCTGGCCCTTCAGCTGGGAGATGTACCGCTGGGCCTGGGGTGGCAGGAAGAGTGTGGGCACTGGGGCCTCGTCTGGCGTGTGTGGTGTGGGAGCCACCGCACAGCCCCAGGCCCCCCCTCTGCCTGCACCCCTCACCTCCAGCTTGATCTTCTCCAGCTCGGCACGGAGCATCTCTACCTCTCTCTTCAAGTTCTCGATCTGCAGGTCCCTGGGGACAGAGGTCAGGCAGGCAGGGTTTTCTGAGGCCTGCACAGTCCTGACATTCAAATTCAGTCAACCAGGAATATAAGGAGACCCTGGCACAGTAACAAATCTTCTTGTCAGCCCCTGGGCACTTGGGCATCTCTAGTTCACACCTCCCAGGGTGGCCTTTCCTGACCACAGCTTGGTGAGGGCTGTTGCCAGGCCCCAAACTGCAGTCGGCTGCTCAGGCCCTCACCTGTCGTCCTTCATGGAGCCATCGGGCGGTCCAAACGTCTGCTCAAAGAGGTCAGCCACCACCTGCCACAGCAAGAAACAGTGACCCACACCCTGTTCCCCCAGGCCCTACAGGCCAGGGCAGGAGGGAGGCCCAGTCTGCCCAAAGCCCCAGGAGGGCAAGGGGGGGGATGCTCACCACTGGCTCCCCAGCAGGGGGCCCCGTGCCAATCTCGATGAGGTGCTCTGGCTCCTCGTCCTCAGGGGCCCCCTCGGGGATCACCACCACGGGCTTGATGTGCTCGGCCAGCGCCGAGGCCCGCAGGAAGTTGGGAGGGCCCTGTGGGGGTGGCAGTGGGGCTGCTCAGCTGCCCGAGGGGGCCCTCCCTCCACAGACCACACAGCCTGCTTGGGTTCCCCAGGTGCTCAGGGCCCGTGAAGTGCCCTGACCCCAGAGCCCAGGGTGGGACCAAGCGTGCAGCTGGCGGGAGGCCGCAGGGGTACAGCAGTACCTCAGGCAGCCGGGGGATCTGGATGAGCCGCTTGAAGTAGAGCATGTCAGAGGCTCTTCGGAAGAAGTTTCTGAGGCTGTGGGGGAGGGTCAGGGGCGGTCACAGAGGGGCCAGGCCTGGCCGGCAGCTGCAGCACACATGGCCAGGAGCCGCAGAGCCTCTGCCTGCCATGTCTCAGCCCCGCCCGGGCCTGTACCTGTGAAACTGCTCGTGGAACCGATCCCTATGGCCTTGCAGGGTGTCCGCCGGCAGACCTGGGGGCAGTAAAGACTTTAGATTCCCTCCCTTCCTCTCCCCCGTGCTCCTCCACATTCTAGAAACCATCACAGATCACCAGCCATCTGGCTAGGTTCCCCCCAACCCATCAGGTGAGACCCTTGTGGGGGATTCGGTTCTTGACCTTCTGAGCAGGAAGGGAAGCTGCGAAAGGGAAGGGTGGAATCTCGGCCGCAGCGAACCTTCGAGGTCCACCGCATTTGCTCTGGGGTCATGACATCCCAATGGCTCACACACCCTAGGCCAGTGGTTCTCCAAGTGGGGCCTGGGGACAAGACCCTTTCAGAGGGCCCGCCAGACCCAAACCCTTTCTGAACACCAAAGGGCGCCGTGGGCCTGTGAGCCCTGGTCCCACCAGCATGTAGGGTGCGACGTGTCATGGCAGACGGAGTAGAGAAGCAGGCGAGAGGCCCCGCTGCCCTCTCCAAGGCCAGACATTTATGAGAAGAGCCGACATGTAAAACTCTGCCACTCTTCTCACGAAATCTTTGCTTGTTTAGAAAACTGATTTTTCATGACAAGTATGTTATTATTTATGTTAATGGGTAATGTGTTTATTACTGCTATGTTTAATTATTAAATACCTTAAAATTTCCTAATATAGTGAATGTCTATCAAAATAACAGCCTAAATACAGCCCTTGGGGGCTCTGCCTGAGTCCTGGGGAGCCCGGGGGTGGTGGGAGGGCCGGGACTCACAGGCATGCAGCTTGAACATGAGCTTGACCGTGTAGTGGTAGAGGTGGCTGCAGTCCTGGATGACCTGGATGAGGGGGGCCAGGCGGCACTGACCCGAGGACATCTGGGACACGGCGATGGCTGTGTTGAGCTGCCGGAAAACTGCAAAAGGGAGAGGAGGAAGGAGAAGCATGAGCAGGCGGAGGTGGGAGACGCAGGTGCAGAACCCGCACTGGACACAGCCTAAGGACAGCAGCTGAGCACGGGCCCCACTATCCTCTTAGGCACCTCAGCGACCTGGGAGGTGGGTTTGAAGATGGGCCAACAGCCTGAATCTCAGGGAAGGTCGGAGAACTTAGTGTGGGCATTTTACAGAGGCAGAACCAGGCCCAGGCTTGGTCAGCCACACAGCAGTGGGGTCAGGACTCAGTTCCACAAACTCCAAGTGACCCAAAACCGCTCTTACACCTGGGGTGGGTCTCTCCTGCCCCCAACAGTCAAGCCCTTTCGTCAGACTTGACCAAGTAGGAAGGAAGGGCAGGCATGAGGCTGCGTCTCCCACCAGCCTCCTCTGTGGGGCGGAGAGAGACGGCAGTGAGCAGGCAGCATGCTGGGGTGGCCCACGCAGGACACAGACACCAGGACATGGGTCCCGCTGTCACCCTGCTGGGGTGGGACAACCCACACACCCTGCAGTGACATGAGAATGCACGGGAGGGAGGGATGAGAAGGAAGGAGCTAAGTGCTGTCCTTCAGCCTTTTACAATGTAGTTTTCACTACCTGTCAGGCCAAGTACACTTTCCTTATAAAAAATTAACACACACATGAAGTACTATCTTGGGTTTTAAACATAATGCAGCCAATTCACTGACTCAAAAACATTTCCCATTTTGGGTCATCGCGAATGGCAAGGCAGGGAAAGACAGCCTTGCTCGTTTCCCCACGGGGACGAGGGCGCACGGGACTGCCGCTGTGCCCCCTCTCTGTGCTTCACCAGGGCACCAGTGTCACTAGGCATGGGTGCCTGCCCACGGGCTCTCTCCACCTTCCTGCGTGGGGACCACAAGAGGCACGTCTCTGCTGGGACACAGGCCAGCAGCCACACCTCTGGACACCTGCTCTCCACTCCCTGGGTTGGGTCCTGGGCACAGAGGGCTCAGCTCTGAGCTGCCCCCTGGACTCACCCAGCCTCAGAGTCCAGCCCTGGGAATGCCAGGAGGCTGCCTAGAACCACCTCTTTCTAATTCCCCGATTTTCCCTTAAAAAGGCATTTGCTTCTCACCCTCCTAAGGAGAGCACTGAGTCACCCACAGGCTGTTCTAAAGCTGCCACCTAAACAATCACCTCGGCAGCCCCGGGAGGGTGAGCCCTCTGAGATTTCCTGTCCAATGGCTGCTGGGTTCCTGGGCTGGGAAACCCCACATGACTCATAGGCCTTTCACAGCAGAAAATGGGCACGATGCCCCAAACTAGCTCTCTCCTGGGCCAGCTCTGCAGATGTCCTAGGCTGCGTGGGAACCAGGGTCAGAAACCTGAGGTGGGGGCTCCCAGTGGCCCCTGCCCCACCCGCTCCCTGCAATGGGGCTAGTGGCCAAGGTTTGCGAATGCCCAGTTGTAACTCCCAGGGGCCTGGCTTCCTGCAGGGGGTGTGAAGGCCTCTCCCCTAGCTCTGGGGGCAACTGGAGACCCGTAACTTGTTCTGGTAGGGGCAGGGACCACTGGTGGGGGCAGGTGCACTCAGGAATGGTTAAGTTAGCCTGGCTGTCAAGGCAGTAGGCATTTCTTCCCCTCATCTCAACCCAGGGCCCTGAGGAATCGCACGAGAACCTGATCTCCATTGGCTTACCTGACTCAGAAAGCTTCAGCTCGCAGTCCATATAATCAAACATCTCCACAGTGAGCTGGAAGCTACAGGGCGCATGGAAAGAGAGGAAAGGAGGGATGAGCGGGAGGGGTGTGGGGCACGCCCAAGAGACCCCCAGGGTGGGGGGAGGGAGCACAGCTCATCAGCAATTTTGCACAGGCCAGTGGTCCTTCAGCCAAAACTTCCCGATTCCAAATAAACCCCACCCCTTTCACTTTAGCCTCAGCTCCTGGGAACGTGACCTTCAGCCCAGAGAGCCACTGACAGCACCAGTGCCGTGTGGGAGCACCGGGCAGGATGCTTCAGGAGCAAACAGGGAGGCTGAGGGCTGGGGGGAGTGGTGCCATGCCAGCCCCCAGTCCCGAGGGACTCACATGTTGTTGACGTCAGTCCCAGCTGCCTTCTCCAACACCTCGTCTGTCACCTCGAGGCCCGCAGGGAACTGGGGATGCTGTGGAGAGGCCACCCCCATCAACTGCAGCCTGCGTTGGCCCTGGCCCAGAACTAGGCCTGCTTTCAAGGGGAGAGGAGCAGGGGCCGGAGCTGCCCCTTGCCCAGGTGTGGGCTGAGGGGATACAGGCTGAGGGGGCACAGGCTGCAGGCGGAGGCAAGGCCAGGCTGAGCGCCCCCGAGCGCCCGTGGGAGCTGCCTCAGGCTGGCTCTGACACCCCTACACCCCTCGTTTCCCCTGGGTCAAGGCTGGGACAGAGTGGATCCCGCCCTCCCCGGGTCCTGGGATGTCGCGGAGGGCCAAGTCCTCCACCCTGCTGAGGCACCTACCTTGAGATGGAAGGAGATTTTGGTCAGCAGGAGTCTGGTGTACACGCTCACCAGCTGTCCGTATCGGTCATGCAGGTGCCCCTGCGGAGAACGGAGCGCCAGGGTGAGGGCCCACTGCCCCAGAAACAGGCCCGCAGACCCCAAGGGCCCGCACGCTTCAGGGCAACCATGGACACCAAGGGAGCGGGTGAGGACCCCACCGCTCAGCCTCATTCCTCCTTCAGGGCCCCTGCCCATCTCCTTCTCTCTCAAGCTTTGTTTTCTTAAATCTTACTCCTAGTCTTCTCTTGCCAAAGAAATCCTTACGAGAAGAGAGCTCTTCGTCCAGGGCAGCTGGCCAGCCCTGAGTAGGGACACTTCATTAAAATGCCGGTGGCAGCCAGGGAGGCACATTCCTATATCCTCCCAGCTGCCTCTCCAACACCTCTAACCACCACGTCCCGTGGCCACACTAGCTGGGCCTGCGTTTGCAAACAGCACCTCGGGTGCTGTCTGCCTTACTTGGAGGGACATTCATAAAACACAGTGGCTCTGGGTCAGGCGCGCCCCAGGCCAGTCAGCTCTCCGAGGTCACCCTGCCCTGTGCTGGCTGACGAGGCCCCAGTGCTCCTAGAGGACAGACAAGGCCACCAAGGGATGTGCCTAGTTCCTGAGGGTCTTGGGGTGGATCCAGAATATAAGCCCCCGGGGCTCTGACTTTACTACGGATAAAGACCTTCGGAGGCACTTGCTGAAAACGGAGGTTTCCAACACCCAGACTAAACAGCAGCTGGTCTGGGGGAGCCCGGGACACTGCACCCTTCACACAGGCCACTGTGAGACACCCAGATGCAGACACTGCCACATTTCCCAACCCACAGGGACTCCGGGGCTGGTACTTCTGGAGATGGAGGGCCCGTTAGTTATGTGTTGAGAACTTCCTGTGCCAGGCCATCAAAGCAAGGCTGGAATTTCAGTTCCTGGTGCTCCTCCCTATCACTGCCGCCCGGAATAATAACACTCCAACTTCTGCTCTGAGAAAGAAGGAGAGAGATACCAACCCACCCACCCACACGTGCCCCCATTCTCTCAGGCCCATGGGCCGGGGACCGAACGCCAAGCAGGATGGTCCAGACACTGCTCTCTGCCAGGGCTATGGTGCTGGCCCCACACCTACCCACAGGTCTCCAATCTCCCGGATGTTGCTCCGATAACGCTGGCAGTCATGCAGCACCTGCAGCACAGAGCGAAGAGAGGGGGAAGGTGAAGACCCCAGAACCTCACGGGAGGGGCCCAGACACATAACTTCCCACGCTGGGGTGGGGAAGGACAGGGTGGAGGGTGGCAGGCAGGTGGACAGCCCAGAGCCGAGGCAGATGCAGGGCAGATCCTCCCATTTCAAAGGCACACCACCTCCCTGGGACCATCCGCTCAGGCAGCAGGATGGGGGCTGGAACAGGGGACCTTCCCCTCGGTTCCAGGGGGCGGCAGCTACTCACGTTGGGGTGCCCATCTCGAAGGACCTTGTGAAGCACGTGGCAGAACTTCCAGCTGAGGATGGAGCTGCTGGGAAGTGGCAGGCCGATGGCATAGGACCAGAAAGTGAAGGCCCCCTTCTCATGGTGAGTGCCCAGAATGATGCCTACCAGGGTCAAGGCCAAGTGCAGGAAGCAGAGGCTCAAGTGTGGGGAAGGTCCGGGTGCTCAGCAAGTACAACTGAACAAGTGACCACAGGGATATACATAGAAGGCTGGCCCCTCACCCCACAGCCACCAAATGCCTTCTCCCCGCATCCCTTTCCTGCCACAGTTCATCAAGAGCTGTAGTTTTCAGCCAAGGGTAAGAAAAAGGTCAAGGTCTTATCCCACAAATTTAACTGGGCCCAGTGGCCTAAGGTGGTAGATGGCATTCCATAGATGGGACCCAGAGTCTGAAAGGAGCTCCGTAAGGTGGGAGCCACTGGCCTAAGGCCACACAGGGACACGCCTCATATCGGTGAGGGCAGACTCCCCAAGCCCTGGGGGCCATCTACAGCGCCACACAGCTCCTCCAACTTGTTTTCCACCAAATGTCTGGTCAGAGAACACGCGTGGCAGGCCCTCGTCCTCCCCACCCACCCCCCTGCCTCCCCAGGGACAAGGGGCCTGCTCCAGGTAGGGAAGGATACGCCTGGCGTGCTTCTCCTTCACAGGGGCCTCCTGGGTGTTGATGGCTTTGCTAATGCTGATGGCCTAGGAGCGGGACAGAGGAGGCAGAGGTCAGAGACCCACAGGGCAGCTTCCCCGGGGAACAGACAGGATTGATCCTCCCCAACAGTTGAAGGCAATGCAGTGACAAGGGAAAGAAATTTTCTCAGCCTAAGTGAACCAGACTTCTGAAGACTTTTCTTCCACTTGACCTGTGCAGCTCAAATGACAGCTAATACCCAATGCCACAAAGCCACTGAGAGCTTTCAGCAGTCTGGGAAATAAGGACGAAAGCTGGCTGGTGGCTGCAGGAGACCACTTCTGGCTTGAAACCTGCATGCATTAGCTCAGCCCAGGGGAGTGGCCAGTCATGCCACATGGCATCCTCTGTCCCATTCCTCTTCTAGGAGAAACCGCCAGGACCTGGGCCTGCATGGCAGTCCATGAAGAGGCGTGTGGCCAGGCCCAGGGGAGTGACACAAGCTGACAGGGCCCACACAGCACCACAAGGAAAACCAGGACAAACCCAGGTCCTGCTGCCTGTCTGCCACGCAGGCTGCCTCTTTCCCAGGTGGGAGCCGAGTCAGGACCACCAACAAAGAAGGTGGTCATGGCTCTTCGAGGGGTGGCAGGAAGAGAGGGACCCTTTTAGCAAAGCTGCTGCTGCCCTGTGGGTCCTGAGGAAGTGGCATCTCATTCTTGGCCAAGGTCTTCTCCCAGCCTTGTCTCCTCCGCCCAGCTCCATGCCGCCACTTCAGAGAAGGCTTCCTGGGCCTGACTTCTGCCCAGTGAAGGCTCCTGGTACTGACTGTCACCCCCTCCCCACTCCCCCAGGAACGCCCACTGGTCCTGGGTTTACATGTGGATCTATTTTATTTCTCTACCTGAGGGCTGGTCTCATAAGCCTCCCACCCACCCAACACTGAGCAGGGGACATCAGAGCGTGTGGACTGGAAGAGCCGCCTGTGCCACTGCTGGAAGAGTCAGGGCCCTGGACAAATGCGGGGCTGCTCCAGGCCAGCCGGCTCTCCTGTCCCCTGCAGGTCCTTGGCCAAGGCCCATGCCACCCTGCTCCCAACACCGTGGGCCATCCGAGGGCCTGCTCTGGGCAGAGCAAGGCTTCAAGGGGCTGCGTGGTCACCCTGCAGCCAGGACCCAAGCCCACAGGTCACTACCTGGTCAGCAGAAAGTGCTGGGATGACTTGGGCAGGAGCATGGCCCCAGCAGTCTCAGCAAAAACGGGGTGGGTGTCAGGGGGCAGACAGGGCAGACCAAGCCCCAAGGGCCATGCTGACGATTCACTTTCTTTTCAGCCCACAGGCCCCCATGCTCCCCACCTCTGGCATCCGAACCACATAACTGCCCTGCCCAGCAAGGATGCAATTCCACTTAAGGACTATCTACTGTGAGCCGATTTGGGGCCTACTCAGCAGCAAGACTGCGCAGTCACCTCTGTAAGAAAAGCCACCCCACAGGGTCGACATGCACCTCTCTCATCAGAGGTGCACACTTAGCTGCTGGAGCCAGGGTGGCTTCTGAACCCACCTGGCCCTTCAGCGCCCCCCATTCCCCACCCTGCACACGCAGCACCCTCTGTGGCCCCACTCACAGGGTACCGAATGCTGGGGCTAAGGCACGCCCCTCACTGGGCCACTCCCGGCGGCAAGGGTGGGCCGGGAGAGCAGCTGCCTGACTCGTGGTACCAGGGTCCTGAGAGGCCCTGGCTTCTCTTCCTGTCTAAGCCTCGCCAGCCAGACACAAAATGTTCCCTGGTCATCTGTTCTGTCTTCCCACCCTCTGCCGGCCCTCACGCATCGAGCATTGCTGAGCAGCCACTGTGCGGAGCCATGCCCAGGCCCCTACCACTTCCCACCTCAAGGGACGATCACAGAGCTCCGCAGTCGAGGTGACAGTGATGACCCTGCCATATACTGGGCACCATATGCCAGGCACAGGCAACAAGCCTCCCAGCTACAACCCTAGGAAGTAGCCACAGGCCCATTTTCCTGAGGAGGTAACTGAGGCTCTGAGTTTAGGCATCTTGCCTGCACGGCTAATAAGGGCAAAGCCAGGTCTGGCTGACCCCGTGCTCAGAGTACTCAGTGACAGTGTTATGCAGCAACTCAGGCACCTCCCTCTCACACAGGGACAAGGCTGAGAAGGGGGCACAAGAGGCCATGCACTGGGCAAGGGGTAGAGGCCCCGCCTCCCCCAAGAGCAAGCAGCTGCCAGCTCAGGAGCCAGGAGGCTCCTGTCTCCTGGGCTGCGGAGAGCCCCATCCCCCAGCTGCCCTGACACCTGAGCTGGCTCTTTTGACAACTGCCACCTGGCTAAGTCTACTCTGGAAGACTCCAAGCAAGCGTACAGCAAGGCTGAAAAGGCGTGCAGAGGAGGCTCAGGGGGCCTGTGGACGCAGAGACGTGGCCTGTTCACGACAAGTGCTTTCTGCTCTGCTCCCCAGGTCCCAGAGCAGATGCAGGGAAGGGCTCTGATAACAACTTTCCTCCCTCCTCTTCTCCAGGAGGTCAGCCTTTTCTCCTGCAGTGCCTGCAGCCAGAGAGCAGCAGCAGAGACACACCTGAAGGAATAGGCTGGTGGGGCCCAGCAGGGGAGGAGGACGTCAGGTTGCACTGCTTAGCTGGGGGCCCAGGGGGTGAGGCATTCCCACCCCAGCCTTCCCCCTAAGTCACTAGGCCAAGGCTCTGACACGGTTGCAGAGAGTTCTCTCTAATTGCCTGCTGCCCGCCTATTTAAATCTCCCCTGACTTACACCTCTGCATGTATTTAGCACCCTGACAAGGTTGTTTCTCTTGTCTGTTATCCATCCCCCGCTCTCCCCAGGGTCAATGTCATGAGGAAAGCAGTTCTGCCTGTCTGGTGGCTGCTGTAGCCCAAGCCCCAAGATGGTGCCTGACACATGGAAGATTTTCAAAAGCAGTGAGGGAGGCTCTGGGGACCCAGCGAGATGCGGTGACCTGGGTGCACAGCATGGTCTGTCTGAACATCAGGCCTCCCCCTGTGCCCCCACCCTCCCGGGGCTGCCAGTTCCCTGTGCTGGCTACAGAAACGGGCCCCTCCCGTGGCAGGAACATGGTCCCGTTGTGTGCAGGGCAGCAGATGTGTGGGTCAGGAAGCCTCACAAGGAGGCACAGTGCTCACACAGAGGGCATCTGTGGACACTTCACAGGGCCTCACTTCTCCTGCCAGGCATAGCAGCCAAGCCTCGTCCCAGGAGGGGACATCAGGCCCCAGGGACGCCTGTCCACCTCCCCAGCCTGCCCAGAGTGGGCCACAGAGGTGGGGAGGGCACCAGGGTTCTTCTCCATAGCACTGGAATCTGTGCTGGGCGATTCCAACACAGCTCAGCTCCTGGGTTCACTGTCTCAAGGCAGCACTGTCAGCCACACTTGGCTCTGTCTACACAGCATGGCATCCTTGCACCAGCTCACTGGTTGACTGTGGGGAAACTGGAGGATAAGGGGCAGCTGGAGGGGAACCCAGGGCCATCACCCTCTCTCTAGCCTGTGGGTGGAAAGGCTTCCTTCTGTCCTGGCACAGCCACCCAGGCCAGAACCACCCCAGCAGCTCCGCCAACAGCCAGTTTAATCCCTGTTGACTAGCAGGATCCATTGCCATGGAGAGAAGCCTTCCGGGGAGATAGAAGCTTTGAGTGGAATGGATTGATTAGGGGCCTCAGAGAGTCAGGATGGAAAATCCAGAAATGGAGAGGAGTCCTGGGTGGGAAGGCAGCAGCAGCTGTCTCAGGGATGTGTCTGCTGCTCTGACCCCAGGGAGAATGGGGACAGCTCCCAGATGATCTTGGGGTGGTTGGCGAGGGGGGCAGGGGGCAGCTCTCCCCATCTCTGAACAGAGGTAGGAAAGCAGGACAAGAGCAGTAATGGTGGGCTCTGCAGTGAGAGCCAGGAAATGCCCAGGGTGACCGTCGGGGAGGGCGTGAAGCTGGAGGGTCCACACAGACAGAGGCAGGCAGAGAGTCTCAGCCCCAGCAGGGCGGGTGATCAAACAGGTTCTCAGGCACCCAGACCACTGCTGCTCCTTCTGTGCTAGAAAAAAGCCACGAGTGCACACACCAGGCCCTGGGGAGCCACGGTGACTGGACCGTCTGAGGGTCTCCTTGTCCCACCCAGGCACATGGGGAGGGGCCTGACCCCCCAAGGGCAGAGGTGGGGCGGCCACAGGCCAAGGGATGGGTGGGAACACTCCAGCTCGCTCTGGGCACACAGATGGAATGGCTTGTGAAAGGCATATTTCATGCCCCCGGCCGGCAAGCTGGCCTCTATAACCTGATAATAAAGTGAGTTCAGTCATGTGCCAGGCACTGTGCTGAGCACTTCACCAGTATTATCTTGCTTAATCAATCTCTTAAGTAACCCTGGAAGCAGGCGGATGAGGAAATTGAGTCTCGAGAAAGTTAATCACTTGCTGAAGGTCGTAATACTGAAAGTTCGGCTGAGCTCACGCCCTGCCATGCGCCAGTCTAAGCACTCTGCGTATTGACTGACCTCACACAATGCTCCGTCACCAGGACGCACAGGGAAACTGCGGCACAGGCAGCCCAAGCAATCGCCAGAGGGGCCGGAATGACTGGCCCCAGGTTGCCGAGCTCTGGAGACTCTCTCTCAGCCACCACTCCACGGCCTCCTCTCTCAGTGGGTGCTGGGGGTGGCGGGACGTGTGAGGGGGCAGTGCGTCAACACAGACCTTCCTTGTCCCCTTAGAAGCCTGACTCCTAGGGCCTGCTGCTGCTCTAGGAGGACCTGGCCGGACTCCAAGGCAAGAAGCAGATTCTGGACCACAGATTTGTTCAAATCGCAGCAAAAAAAAGCATCAGGGTGGTTCTGAGAAGCTCAGGGGCTCCTCCACAGCCCCCCATTCCTGTGGGGAAGGGCGCTGGCCTCTGGGCCCTGGGCTCCCTCCTAGGGTGTCTTCCATCCTGAGGCCAGGGCAGGGACATCAGGGAAGGCCTCCTACAAAAGCCCAGTCAGGCCCCAGGGAGCCCAAGCCCTCAGGACACACCTGCCCCT